GGAGCCGACGGTGATGCACTGTCACGGCATGAAGGTGGTCTCGCGTCGCCCACCAAGACGTGGAGCATCATCATTGGCATCAGCGAACCTGCGTAAACGAGGTCCGCGCGTATAGTCACCGCCTCGGTCCATGCCGGGGTGCCGTCGGTTGAAGTTGCTGTCATCCGAGTCGTCGTCGTCCGGGTCGCCGCCAGCGAGCCCCCCCTCCGAAGAGGGTGGCGGCGTGTTCCAGTCTTGGCATTCGACGATGCGAAGGCGTACCCGATAGCGTAGCCCCGGAAAGCCGTGGAGGACGGACTCGTCCGCGCGGAGGTCGAGCGCATCACCAGGACGTGAGACCCAGGCTCCGGGATGAAGATGGACTCCTCGTCTGAGATGAGCCACGGGTGTAGGCACCAGGCAGCAACAAAGAACTCGTGGTCGTCGTCCACTGGGGCCACCTCCGGTGGTGCGAGCACAATCTGGGCGCACCCCCGGCCTAGAATTGTCTATGCCACCGCAGCAGAGCGAGCGTGAAGGGGAACGTGCGTCATGCCCACCAGAACTCTGTAGCGGAAGGAGCTGGCGGACGCGAGCGAGGTCCGCCTCCACCGGTGCCAGATGAGGTGGAAGGGGGGGTTGGGCACCCTGGTGTACAGCACCGCCTCCAAATCCTGGAGACGTGAGAATCTGATGATGAAGTCCTCCGGTTCATGAATCCGCACCGTGGCGTCAACGATTCCGAGGTAAGTTGCAAGATAGTCGCGCATCATCGCAGGGGACACTTGCGGCCTGGTGCCGGCAATGACGGTGACCAGAGCCAGGCCGAGGTCACGCTCTGCGGCCTCCAGCTCCATGGAGCGAGGCACGACGACGAGGCCGGAGTGGCGTCTTCCATCGCTTGCTGATCGTCCTGGAATACTATCATCAGTGATGGGTTCCTGGGCAGGGGGCGGCTCTAGCACTGAAGTGTCCGGAGTCAGCGGAGCGCAGCAGTGGGGGACCGATGTCGACCTACCGGTGGAAACCGACCGGGCGGAGATCGTGTCGTCGGAGCCCGCTGTCCGTTCTTGCCTGCCGTGCCACGGCGGGGAGCACCATCGGAGGACCGGCGTCGCTTCCGGGCACTCAAGGGGGGGAACGGACAATCCTGCAACCCATGGCACGCGCTGCCACAGTTGCGGCCTTTGGGAGTCGCAGCCTCTTCCGGATGATTTGGTGCCCGTCATTAGAGGGAAGGGGCAGTCACGCTGCCAGTGGCATTCGCTGCCGCAATTGAGGCACCTGGTGGGCGAAGAGCAGGCTGCTCTGAGGTGATGCCTGCTTCCGCAGTTGAAGCATTTGCCGTTGAGGTGGGTTGGCACCGGTCTCGGTTGGCGTGGTGGTGTGCGCCGGCGCCATCGTTGGCGGCTCTGGACCTGGAAGTAGCCATCAGCGTCCGAAGCCCCGGAGGCGAGGCGGCGGGTGGGCGGCCGTTGAGCGAGTTCGGCGGCGGGCGTCATCCACGCCACGTTGGCCCCGAGAGGTCAGCGGGGGACCTTCCATCAGGGGGTGGGCGCGGCGGGCGGCGGCCATGAACTCACTAGCGATTCGACGCCGGCGTCGGCGGCGTGGGCGACGGCGGCGCCCCTGGCCGGCGCGGGCTCCTTTCCCTTGCCCACCGGCGGCGGCGAGTCCGGCTCAGATCCGTCAGAGGCCTCAGAGTCGGTGAAGGAGAGCCTCGCGCCGTAGCTCCCAGAGGCAGGGGAGAAGGGCTCAGCGTTGGGGTTGATGCCGGGGAAGTTGGGTCCGGACCGCGCGGTGCTGCCAAAGAAGGGCGTCGCGTTGGGGTTGAGGCCGGCCGCGGCGGTGGGCCCCTCTTCTTCAACCTCGTCTGCCCAAGAGCGCCGTGAAGAGGACCCAGGCTCCATGGCAAGCAGTGGATCTGCAGGGGGGAAGTCGAGATCCGGCGGCGGCCGCCTCAGCGGGCAGGGGCGCGGCGGCCAGCTGCCCCGCGGCGGAGTAGATCTGGGCCCCCGCTTCTTTTCCTCCTCAGCGGCCGCCTCGGCGCGTTTCTGCGTGAATGCAAGCTGCCAGGAGAAGAATGTGTTACAGAGTACATACAGAATGTTCTTCGATCCGTCCAAGTATTTAGGTATAAGTTAAACAACAAATGCAACAGCAAGATGCTTCAGTTTGACAGGTTACATGTAGTATATGATGCTAGAGGAAGTTCGTTGTGATAAAGAATCGAATCACCAGTCAATCAATGGCTTTTGGAAGGCAGGCAGATACTGCAAGGCGATGTGCAACCTACATGCAGCTGCTGATGTGCAGCTCGGCAGAAACGAACCCTTCCGAGACCCCTCTTCTGCCGTTGGAAGCAGCTCTTCTTCAGCTAGAACAGCACGAGCCTTTTGTGGCGGTGGATGATTCAGCGACGTTAATGGTGGTTCCGTGCATCGAGCGCCCGTTGCTGGATGCAGACTCTTGCGCGGCGAGCGCCTTCTTGCTTACCGTCTGATGAATCTCGCTTAGGATGGTGTGGAACGCCTTCTCGACGTTTATCACCTCCAGGGCGGAGGTCTCGAGGAAGGACAGGCCTTCCTTCTCTGAAAATGCTTGGCCGTCTTCCTCCGGGACCGACCTTAGGTGGTTCAGATCCGACTTGTTACCAACCAACATAACAACAATGTTCGCGTCTGCGTGATCCCGGAGCTCTCGGAGCCACCTATGAACATCGTCGAAGGTTTGCTTCTTTGTGATGTCGTAGGCGAGAAGCGCTCCAACTGCGCCCCTGTAGTAAGCGCTAGTGATAGCGCGGTACCTCTCCTGCCCAGCCGTGTCCCATATCTGTGCCTTGACGGTCTTCCCCTCTATCTGCCTCAAATCAAAGAGAAAAGGAACTTGTGCTCTGATGATGCATAACACGAACAGCTTCAGAAGGCAACACCATCAGATAACACGAACAGCTTCAGAAGGCAACACCATCAGTAAGGAAGGAATTCCAACTCTAGATGCACAATGACGGTGAACAATGGGCAGCACAGTAATATTTTTGTATGTCCTGAACGTCAGATCTACTGATAAAGGATAAATGGAGTGCCGAGTTCATAGCTTATTCTCTGAGAAGTAGGCAAGGCAAAATCATAGCTTATTCTGTGAAGTAAGCAAGGCAAACTCAAACTCTGACCTACCTGAGCTTAAGCTACCTAGCCATATAATCAGTAAAGAGAACCAATCTCATGACAACAGTTTTCAACCAAGTAATAAACACGTTGAATAGCCAAATTAAACTAAGGAAAAAATATAATTCCAAAAATTCAGAGCATATCTTCATCATATATTAAAAAGAATGGCTTCAGATCTCATCTCACTCTCTAACTACACTGTGACCTTCATCATTCTTTTATCAATTTTCTATTTATGAACTAGATAAAGTATTTGTGACAGCAAAAACTTCCTGTGCACGTAGAAATGAAGTACAAATAATTGTACCTTAGTGTCCCATTGTACAACTCACTATTCAATAAAACCAAGATTGGAAATGACTAGTGAAAGAGACAATTAAGGCCATCTCTATCAATAAGACTACCAGAAGGAATTAGTACCAAAATCATATGGCTGACAATTCAGAGGATTATACATGACTATATATGACTATACATGATTATCTATGTCGTGCTCCTATTTTGTGGGATGAAAATTTACTTTTCTCAAGGCAGATTTTACTTTTTTCCTACTTATGCTTAGGGAGGTACCTTTCCCTATCACTTCACTTTTCACCTTGTGGAGCAATACCGATGTAATACCTCTGTCCCAAAAATAATAATACAAATCTTGCGACATCAATCTCAATTATGACTAAATATATTCAAAATTACTAATATTTATGATATGTAATAAGTATTGTTTAGACTAATTGTCGAATATATTTTCATAATAAAATTATGTGAGATAAATATTGATACTATTTTCTATCAATTTTTTTGTCAAAATTGACAATATTTATATTCTTTTGGGACACAAGGAATAGGTGCCTTTTATTGTCCAATTTTACTGTTTTGGGACCGAAGAAGTTGATGCTTTTTTATTCTCCAATTTTACTGTGTTGATATGACAACACACTACAGTAAATGCTTGGATTATTTATCCAGGACTGTGTAGCCTAGCTGAGCTAGGAATTGGAGTGCAGGAGTGGGAAGAGTGTTTGGATGTATAGCTAGTTGATCTTGATTTTCATGTGGGCAAGATTTTCATTGCTGAATTGGGTAAGCCAAATTGGCTCCCAGCCTAGCAAGGATCTCGTTGCTTGTGCCAAATAAGGTGAAGGCAAGCATGGCCACAATCAAGCACGCCTTAGGCCACTCCCAACAAGGGCTGCGAAGTCGCCAGATGAGCTGGATGAGAGAGAAGTCAAAGAAATCTATTTCACTCCTACTCTCTCACCTGGTCCCATCCGTCCTCGGGCTCCGTTCGTCTCACAAATCCTTGGGCTGCGAGAACCGCCGGGCAATTTGTTCATCGCTAGCTAATTGTCGCCCTCCTTTCTCTGCCTTCCACGCCAGAGGACAGCTGGTGACGTCGCCTCCGGTTGCGGACGTCCTTATAGCGCGGTTGCGGACGTCCTTATAGCATTTTTAATCTTCCCTCGTGGCGTCATGCGAACTAAACAGGTGGTGCTTCATTGCATTGTCCTCAAAACCATAATACGAACAATCACACCGGTCTTCAGAGTCAAAACATAAAACAGAGACCACTCATCTATTAATCTCTCGTTTTTCGTTCTGAAATAGAAGACTACGGCATAAGAGATAAGACTGAGAAATCGAGCGTGACGTAGTTGCACGAGGTACGGTCAAAATGTAGCAGCCAAAACACCAATTGACATAATAAGATCTCAAAATCAAAAGACAGACGCGCCATGCATGGCGGCAAATGGCGCCGGAGGCCGGACGGACGCCACCATGCAAAATTGTACCACACATTGCCACATTGGGGCGCGATCAGATCGGGGTTGAGGTATATGGGGTTGGGTGTACCTGCAGGGTGCGGGTGGCGAACTCGACGCCGATGGTGGACTTGGACTCGAGGCAGAACTCGTTGCGCGTGAAACGTGAGAGGATGTTGGACTTGCCGACGCCGGAGTCGCCGATGAGCACGATCTTGAAGAGGTAATCGTACTCGTTGTCCACCCGGTGCGCCATGTCTGGTCGATCGAGCGAGCCCGAACCAAAGCCCAGCCGGACGGACGCCGCTCGCTCGCTCGCTCGCCGAACGGGACGGGATTGGATTCGCCCGCTCGGTTTCCGCTCGCGTGGGGATTTGAAACGGTGGGGGGTGCAACAGATCCGAGGCGTGGATGGGGTGGGGCGTGGGGGAGGAGGGAGGAGGGAGGAGGGAGGAAACGGGAATGGGCGGCGACCGTGGAGGCGGAGGCGGAGGGGGAGAGGGGCTGTGGGCTGAGCTGGACGTGCTTGGCGGTTGATTTGGCCGTATCTCGCGACGGCCAGCCAATGGACGGCTGGCGCGTCGCTGGCGGTTGTTGGCTTTGCGCCCTCGGCTCGGCGCGTGGTGGAAGATTTGTCAGATCAGATCTAGGACGGAGGGGGAATGTGCCATGCACATGGTTAATGTGCCGCACTCGTGGTTGAATCGCTAAGAATTATACCTGGCCATGCAGCCCGCGGGCTCGTGGTTCGCCCGTCTTTCGCCCAGCAGCACAAACGGCCCGGTGGCCATCGGGCTCGGGCCGCCCGGCCCGAAGAGACCGGGACGTGCTCGGGGCGCCACCTAGGGCCAGCTGCACGCGCACGGCACGGCACGGTGAAAGAAGGCGGCCCAGTGCCTCCAACGGCTAGTGAGAGGCAGCCCGCAGCAGACGGCCAACCACGGCCGCCTCCCATGGTCGTATATATATGTTGCCCCCGCCCCGATCCCTAACCCTAATCCCACTCCACTCCCGCCGGCCTTTCATGATCGCGATCATCTCGTCTCGCTTCGCTCTCGATCCGCCGCTTTGGGAGCGAGCTCGCCGCCGCGCTTTGAGCTCATGCGGCCTGCTCCCGGTGACCTCGTCGCCGCTCGTCCACCTCGACCTGAGTTCGCTAACCATCTCCTCCCTCCTTTCCCTTCCTATCCCCTCTTCCCCCCTCCTCCGGTGTACCATGTGAGTTCGTCGTGCCTGTCTGTGAATGAATCTGTGAGCTTTTTGTGAAAATGGTGATGAAAATGATGGAATCTTGTTCAAAACTGGTGAAAATGAAGAAGTGGTTCAAACACTCGGTGAAAATATGGTGAAAATGAGATGTTTTTTGGTTGTCGGGCTGTGGGCCGGCACGGCACGGGAAAAATGGTCGTGCCCAGCAGGCGCACGCACGACGTCGGCCGGGCCACTGGGCGTGCCATGGGGTGGGAGGCTGCACGAAGTGGTGGAGGGCACGGCAGGCACGACGGCCCGTCGAGGCAAGACCCCCATCGGGCTGGCACGGCACGACGTCGGGCTGTGCCGGGCCGGCATGGCCCGTTGGCCATCTATACTAAGAATGCAGTGTTTCGTTAATGGGCCTCGACCCAACAATTTTGGCCCTGAATGGGCCTAAGATGACGGATGTTCTCTTGTTTCCCTATGGGCCAAGCAAGAGTGGAAGACTAATACCTATTTGGAACAGAAATTTCACAAAAAATCATACATAAATAAAATTTATAAAAAATGGGACTTGCTATCCTTTCAGACAATGGTTATTACGTATATTTTATACTAAAATTATAGATTTCGTTCATTACAATTTCTGTAGGCGTAATCTATAATTTTTGGCACCGAGAATAAAGAAACCCGTTAGACAAAATCACAGACCCAACAAAATATCATTTGCGTTGGCACAAAGACAATTTACAATTATTTTTATAGGTGGACAATGATGAAAATTTAATATATTACTCCCCGTCTCTAAATAACTGTCGCTGTTGGTGTGCGTGCCGCAAGTTTGACTCAAATTATAGAAAATACGTGCAACATTTGTATCTCCAAAAAAATTATTAAAAAACTAGATTCAAAGATCTTTCCAATGATATTAATTATGTACCATAAATATTAATATTTTTTAATATATATTTAGTCAAAGTTATTTCTCGAGAAGCGAAAACGAGAGATATTTAGAGACAGAGGGAGTATTACACAGAGACAAGTAACAAATCGCAAAATTAACAATTTCTTATACTAGTCGGTGGTACAAGTGTGTTACCTGAAATCATCTTAAATACAAGAGAAATGATAAAAAAATATAAGATTCAAGATTAAAAAAAATCATGCGTTCTAAACAGGGTTTAAGGTTGCAGTTGCACGATGCGTAATTCCAGAATTGTGACAATGAACCACCAAAAATACATAATGAGACCTACTAATCAGTCAACAAATAATAGCATGTCGGGTTCATCATATAAACGTAATATCTCTCGAACTAAAAAGACCCGGAGGTCATCGTCTGATTAGTACTATAATCGCTTCACCCCTCTCGTAATCGCCCGTCAAACCATCGTTCTCCCTTCGCGCGAGAAACCATCGCAGCCCACGATCCTCCACCTCTTCTTCAGTTGCCGCTCGCACAACGTCTGCCTCCCCGCCCCTCCCCTGCCGCGCCTCCTCTGCTCTGCCCCATCGACATCGACGTCGTCGGCTCCAGCGACAACGCTGGACGTGCCGCTGGCTCCTACGCCGCCTGCTCCAGCGATGCCACCGGACGCACCGCCGCCTCCACGAGTCGCTGCTTCGCGCCCGAGCACCCGTCGGACGCCACGACGCCTCCCTGATCTGCGCCGCCGCCTCCATGCCGACGGACGTGGCGCCGCCGCCACGCACACCAGCAGCTCGCCTGCGACGAGCGCCCAGAAGGTGTGCCACCACTTCTCTTAAGATCTGATCTGATCTAACTTTGATCCTTTCCAAAGATTATCAGTCGTACATGTGCACACCCAATGTCCTTTACTCGATCCACGCCTGCAGTTCTGTGTGCTTTGATCTGCTTTGCAATGAAAGTTTCTAGCCATCTTGTACATGTGCTTTGGGGGCAAACGAGAAGGCCAAAGAGAGGAAATATATGTTGTTCTAGAGGAAAGAAAATCAAACAGAAGATAGATACTTGCTGCTAAATTATTGCTGCCAACACTTAGAAATTATACTAATTTTACGTGTCCATAGAACATAGAAGCATGCAAAAATACGCAGAATCTAACTCAACCATAACTAATGCATGCCATGGGGGAGTCCACTGTCCAGAAGACAGTACAGATGATGGCCACTTGGTGAATTTTGCACACTCTTGGTGCGGCAGGATGACGGGATGGGATGACGGGATGAAGCGGATATTTCAATTTCGTAGCATTTTGCGGGTGTCGATTTGTAGCACAGCAATCAATATCATACTCTTTGGTGTATTTTGTGTGTTTTTAGCTTTCTACCTTTGTGAAGTTGGAAATATTTGTATCATTTATCCATGTGCTGATCTGAAAGTCGAATTGAAAGTTCTAGATTTTTACTTCATAGCAATGGTAATAACATTATTTTAGCTCATGCCACTAATTCAGCTTTCAGATAATGAATTTCTGATTATTTTACTTAGCCTTCAGTTTTTCAATTCAATTGCTTCTGCCGTAATTATTGGTATGGAACTTGTGCGTCATTGTTTTTTCATTGAGAAACTTTGCTAAAAAAATCCAATCTAGCCAGACAATTACTTGTTGAATAATAATCCTATGCTGTTGCAGAACATAGGAGTTTCTGATGTAGAGTTTTCTATAAAATTTAGATAGAACCTGTGAGGTCAATCAAGAAATAGCGGATTACTACAGCAAGCTCATAGACTACATGCTTCAACATTGATAAAACCATGTGTATGATTGAATTGTGCACTGTGCTCAGGAAGGGGTGCTTCGACAAACTATGCTGAATTTTGCTTGTAGACATTTGGAGACAGGGTATAACGCATCCTTTCTCATGCAGCTTCGGCCTGCAACAAGTATCGGGTAAAATGCTTACATGCTAATTACTATCTATTTCAATGGAAGTGTGGACTGCACCGTGCAAATTTAGTTCAGTTAAGAATCTTATGGTTTTAGGCATGAGAAAGACTTGGTATTTCTTTTGATTAAATGAATATATTTACCAAAAGAGGAGGGTTTCCACACTGGCGGGTAAAAACCTGAAAAACATTTGATTCAGGATCAAACATCATTCCAGAGGCGCAGTTAAAAGTTTTGCTTTGGTTGTTACAAATAGTCTATTTCTTTCTATGTGTAAATAAATTATCTTATCTTCAGTTGATTTTTTTTTGTATGTTGCAATAGCTCTTGAATGAAGAGTACTATGTGTTTGGCTTTGGCCTCTGTAGACTAACCAACTATTCTTGAGATGAGCCATCAGAGATTTGGAGTGCATGTTCAACTAATCAATTGTGGTACAATGGTCAAATCACTATGGTGTGTATTGTTCCCATGAATCTTCCCTTTCAGCTCTATAATCTCTGACACTCCAATACTCCTACTGCATTCATACTTGTTTTTTGTTCTAGCTGTTACCCATATTACTCCCCAGTAGAAACAGTTGATTAGTCTGAATATCCCCTGGTGCCTTCATTTGGTGCAGGGACCTACAGGATTATACCTAACCTACACAAGCGCCTTCTCTGAATATATCATGTAGTAACTCACCTTTGTGAACTTCTCTATGTGGCTGACAAATCTTTCAAACAGACGCTCGTACAATGTCGTTTTCTTGTCACCTTGAAATAAAATATTATGTGCTTCACCACCTAAATATACTTGTTGTTGGCTTCTTGAGATTATTAAAGTTTATTTGTTTCACCTAATTTACCTATAGCAGTTCGTGTTTCTTTAGCTCTTCCTAAATTTCACAACACACAAGCACGGATTGATGCAATCTTGTGGGCTTTGGCATCATGGAGATGCAGGAAATCGCCTCACAAGGTGTCTTTGTGTTGTATCCTTGAAATGAAAAGGTCAATGAAGGATGGAATGTCTTTTGAAGTGTTGTGACACAAGTGTTGATGAAATGGGAATGGGAGCCAACACTTTCGAGGAATTCTCTTCTTTTGAACAATTAGCAGCTGGCAAGCTCCAAAGAGCTCATTGAGCACTTGCATTGAGATGTTTTCGGGCATCAAGTTGCTCTGTTGTCTGATATCGTGTGAAT